ACCACTGTGTCCAGACAAATCCCCTGCTAGTTTTTCGGTGGCTTCATGCTAGAGAACATGAGATTAAGCATTAACTAGAAGTTTAAATTTCAGAGATGGTGGAACCTAGGTTTTGATTATCTAGTTGTTTTGACACAGTTCTAGTTGTCAAGAGTAGTAAATTTTCTGCAGTGTACTTGTCATATGGCCTAGCTTCTTTTAGCTGGGGAGCTAGTATAGCTCAGGCTATCTTTCTCTTGCTATTGGTGATGTCAATATTTAAGTGAATTTAATTGGGTCATTCTTCTTTACCCCTTCTTTTAGGGAGGTAACATGGTAGATTCTAAGGAACATGCAGGGCCAGAGGTCTTACGTGTCCGAGCGTATGGATCTTCATTTTTCACACTGGGGATCAATATAAGGTATAAATTTTGCATTTATCTATATCGAGAAATCTTATTTTAGCCTGGCAGTTCTCATTATATATCAATGATTGCAGGACTGGTCGGTTTCTTCTTCAGTCATCCAAGAGTATCTTGATCCCCTCCATCTTGGACGAATTTGAAGATGCGTTAAATCAAGGAAGTATATCTGCAGTTGATGCCTTTATCAGCTTGAGAAGCAAAAGCATTTTGCATTTTTTTGCCACCATTGGCAAATTTTTGGGTCTCGAGGTAGTGATTTCTTTTGCTTCAACTAGCTGTTCAAATTCAATTTTTGAGTTGGAAGTGTTGACTTTTGTGTTTGATGCAGGTCTACGAACATGGTTTTGGTGTAAACAAAGTCCCCAAAAACCTCTCGGATGGGTCAAGCATTCTGACTTTGGGATTCCCTGACTGTGAAAGCTCTCACCTCTTGCTCATGGAACTCGAAAAGGACTTCACGCCATTGTTTAAATTAGTGGAAACTCAAATGGATGGTTCGGGAAAGCCTCAGTCTTTCAATGATCTGAGCAATGTTTTACGAGTTAAGAAAATTGATATTGGGCAGATACGGATTCTCGAAGATGATCTTAACTTGATTACATCCGATGTGGTTAGATTTGTATCTTCATTCTCAGATGCTGAGAGCTTAAATCAAGCATCTGGACACCGTCATCCAGGATTAATTGACGAATCTTTGGCAGAAATGAATGGAAGCCAATTGAGTTTCTCTAGTATTGTAGATGAAGTGTTTGGACTTCAAAAAGGGACATCCGCTCTTGTTTCAAGTGATGGGCATGATTCAATTCCTAAGAATCTTCCTGCTGTTAATGGCCTCGGAGAAGTTCCATTGTTGACTAGCTATCAACCAGATTCTTTGTATAATCTGCAGGGCCCTTTACAATCTAGCTCTCTTAATTTGTTATCAGCTCCCCCTCGGAAGAGTTCAGTTATGAAGAAGATAGCTATTTCTAACTCTAACCCGGAGTTATCCATGATATTGTCTCCATCCCTATCAGCTGGGAACGGAGTCTCTGAGCCAGGCAGTAGAATGGTCACTAAATCTTCGTTGTCACCTCCTCCCGTATGTAAGAACATTTCCATAGCCTTTTATTACCTTCATAGAATTATTTCTCAATATTGGAATACCTAATTTCCTTTATTTGCAGCACAAACAGCTGATCTTGCAACTACGTCTGATGGTCCTTTGTTGAGAAAAGACCAGAAGTCTCGGAAACGTTCAGCTTCAGATTTGTTACGATTGATCCCATCTCTCCAGGGAGTAGAAGGTGTAGCTAATCCCAATAAGAGATGTAAAACCTCCTCTGAATTGGTGCAAAGTGAATTAGTTAAGAGTTGGAGCCCTGCATCACAGACCCTATCCGCTTCCGTGGCAACATCAACAAAAACGATTGGATGCAGCTATGGGAATCTCATAGCTGAAGCAAACAAAGGAAACGCACCTTCAAGCGTTTTTGTGTATGCTCTTCTCCATGTGGTCAGGCATTCTTCGTTGTCCATAAAGCATGCCAAACTAACTAGTCAGATGGAGGCATTGGATATTCAATATGTTGAGGAAATGGGACTAAGAGATGCATTTTCAGATATATGGTTCCGGCTTCCATTTGCTCAGAATGATTCATGGCAACATATATGCTTGCAGCTTGGTAGACCTGGAAGCATGTGTTGGGATGTGAAAATAAATGACCAACACTTTAGGGATCTCTGGGAACTTCAAAAGGGAAGTAAAAACACACCTTGGGGATCTGGAGTTCACATTGCGAATTCGTCTGATGTTGATTCCCATATCCGCTATGACCCGGAAGGTGTTGTTCTGAGCTATCAATCCGTGGAAGCCGATAGTATAAAGAAGCTTGTGGCCGACATACAGAGGCTTTCAAATGCTAGAATGTTCTCCCTTGGTATGCGGAAACTACTTGGCATAAAGCCAGATGAAAAACAAGAAGATTGCAGTGCTAATCCCACTATTAAAGGACCTGCTGGAGGGAAAGGCAGTGGTGAGCCAGTTGATAGATGGAGGGCTTTCAAGATTGAGGCAGTAGGATTAACAAGCCTGTGGTTTAGCTTTGGTTCAGGCATTTTGGCACGTTTTGTTGTCGAGTGGGAATCAGGTAAAGATGGATGCACCATGCATGTTTCTCCTGACCAACACTGGCCACATACTAAGGTGAGTTGTTTGCACAACTTAACGATCGATGATGCAAATTAATTTTATTCTTAAAGAGTAATGAATATATGCATTTCCTCATTGTGGGTTATTCTTGTACAGTTCTTGGAGGATTTTATAAATGGAGCAGAGGTAGAATCTCTTCTGGATTGCATTCGCCTCACTGCTGGGCCTTTGACTGCATTAGCTGCCGCTACTCGCCCTGCCCGAGCTAGTACTGCCACTGGCGTGCCTGTCGTACCTGCTACAGCGACTTCGAGACAATCAAATCAGATACAACAAACTCAGGGAATCATTTCCCCTTCAACTTTAGCAGCTCCTAATGCGGTTGGCCAGTCTGCCTCAGGAACTTCAGGAACTACTATTGCTTCTCCTGCTCCAAGCCCTCTCGGTGGAAGTTTCCATGGAGTTGCAATGCTTGCAGCTGCAGGGAGAAGCGGACCTGGAATCGTTCCCAGCTCTCTCTTGCCCATTGATGTTTCTGTAGTACTCCGTGGACCCTATTGGATAAGGATCATATACCGTAAACGATTTGCAGTGGACATGAGATGCTTTGCTGGAGATCAAGTCTGGTTGCAACCAGCAACTCCACCTAAGGGTGGTGCTTCTATTGGAGGCTCCTTGCCATGTCCCCAATTCCGACCTTTCATCATGGAGCATGTTGCTCAAGAATTGAACGGTTTAGAACCGAATTTGACAAGTCAAGGAGCAACAAATCCAAACAGTGTAAACCCAACTGGCAGCGGTGGGAGCAGAGTTAACTTTTCCCCCTCTAGTGCAATGTCAAGAGCCGCGATGAATCGTGTAGGCAGTGTTGCTTCAGGATCTTTAGTCGGTGGCTCAGGATTGTCTGTACGTAGACCACCAGGCACTGCTGTGCCAGCACATGTTAGAGGCGAATTAAACACAGCTATCATCGGTTTAGGTGATGATGGTGGCTATGGTGGAGGATGGGTTCCTCTTGTGGCTCTTAAAAAGGTTTTGCGTGGTATCCTTAAATATCTTGGAGTACTGTGGCTATTTGCTCAGTTACCAGATCTCTTAAGAGAGATCTTAGGTTCAATCTTGAAGGAGAATGAAGGAGCTCTTTTGAACTTAGACCAAGAACAACCAGCCTTACGCTTCTTTGTTGGGTAAGCCAAACAAAGAACTTAGGCGAATCGTTTTGTGTGTTTATACATTAATCTGAAACGCTAATCGTAGTTGTCTTTTTGTTTGTTTTCTTTTTGTAGTGGCTATGTATTTGCGGTGAGTGTCCATAGAGTTCAGCTTCTTCTTCAAGTCCTTAGCGTAAGGCGATTCCATCACCAGCAGCAGCAACAGCAGCAAAACGGATCCTCTGCTGCTGCTCTAGAGGATCTAACCCAATCCGAGATTGGAGAAATCTGCGACTATTTCAGCCGCCGTGTTGCATCAGAGCCATACGATGCTTCAAGAGTTGCCTCGTTCATAACACTCCTCACATTACCCATATCGGTCTTAAGAGAGTTTCTAAAACTGATAGCTTGGAAAAAAGGATTATCGCAATCACAACAAGCTGGAGAGATTGCTCCTGCACAGAGACCTCGAATTGAGCTATGTCTAGAGAATCATTCCGGTACTGATGTAGACCACAGTTGTGCAGCTAAAAGCAATATACATTACGACCGGCCTAACAATACTGTCGACTTTGCGCTGACCGTCGTTCTTGATCCTGCGCACATACCTCACATAAACGCAGCTGGAGGAGCGGCGTGGTTGCCTTACTGTGTATCGGTTAGGTTAAGGTATACGTTTGGCGAAAACCCTAGTGTGACGTTTCTTGGAATGGAAGGAAGCCATGGAGGTCGAGCTTGTTGGCAACGTGTTGACGATTGGGAGAAGTGTAAACAGAGAGTGAGTCGTACAGTGGAAGTCAACGGTTCTGCTGCAGGAGATTTGACTCAAGGCAAACTCAAATTGGTTGCAGACAGTGTCCAGAGAACATTACATCTTTGTCTTCAAGGTCTGAGAGAAGGTAATAACAACACTCTTCAAAAGGAATTTACCATATAGAGAGAGGTAAAAATCTTTTGTCAGTTTTGGAATTCGTTATATCTTAATGTGTACATACATAGTATAATGCTGATTTGGGCTCTTTCTTTTCTATCGTGACTTAGAAACGTGTTGTAGCATTTTTGTGTTTCCCAGTATAAAATTAGAGGTTTCGCCTCTATTTCTTTTACCTATCAACGACAACATTGACAGGTTCAGAAATAATAACTAAGTATTATTGGTTGTGAAATTTAGTTAAATTTAGACAAAATTCTTGCATTTTGATTACAAGATTGAATGAATCAAGAGGAGAACTTTCTAACTAAAATGGATAATATCTGTGGGACTTGATGGATATCGAAATGATTCAAAAAAGTATCTCATTCAAGTTAAAACGGCTAATTGATCTCTGTTCTTAACAAGTCCAAAACATTCAACTTGGAATTCATTTCATCACACAGATGGTGCAATATTCCTTTTATCTCAAGCCATCTTGGATGGTTCTGCTTCTCTGAAGCCACAAAGCTATGAATTCCATCTACTCCTACTACACTACTGTATCCTGCAACCTTTTTTACTCCATGAATCTCCATTGCTTCTCTCGTCTTGTCTGAATAACCGAACCTTCCCGCGGTTGCATATACATTGGACAGCAAAACGTATCCGCCTTCTTTTTCAGGTTCCAACTTGAGCAATTCCTTTAAAGCCATCTCTGCGGTTTCAATATATTCTCCTCCCCGACAAGCGCTTAAGATTGATCCCCACATCGACTGACTTGGTCTCATTGGCATCTTCTTTTGCACCAAGTCTTTTGCTTCTTCTACTCTCCCTGCCCTACACAACAGATCAACAAGGCTTCCGTAATGCTCGGTTTCAGGGTCAAAGCCGAATTTCAACTTCATGTGGTTGAAAATGTGTAGCCCTTCCTCCACGAGGCCGCTATGACTGCAAGCTGTTAGGACAGCGAGCAGAGTGACCTTGTTTGGCGTCACGCCTTCTTCTTGCATTTCTTCGAATAGTTGCAGAGCTTGCTTGCCATTTCCATGGAAGGCAGACCCAGTTATCATTGTCGTCCATAGAGTGACGTCTTTTTCAGGAACTGTCTTGAAAACCACGAAAGCCCGCTCGATGGCACCACATTTGCAGTACATATCTATAAGTGCAGAACCCAAAAAGGCGTCAATTTTCAATCGCAGGCGGATCATTAATCCGTGTACCCATCTTCCTTGGTCTAGTTCACCGTTGTTTGCTGCACCGCTTATCAAACTTACCACAGTGACACGGTCTGGAATGACCTTCTCCACTATCAACATCTCAGAGAACAACTCTCTAACGGCTCTTTGGTCACATCCCTTCTTCGAGTAACCAAAAAGCAGAGAATTCCAAGAAACAAGATCCCTTTTAGGCATCTGATAAAAAACATCCTGAGCAGCTTCCATGTCCCCAAGCCTAACGAACCCACCCACCATTGTGTTCCAAGAACGCATGTCCTTCTTCTTCATCATATCAAAAGCTCTTTTTACAAGACCAGGTTCTTTGCATTTGAAGTACATGTCTAAAAGAGCATTGCTCAGGATCAAATTAGAGGAAGAACCAGGTTTCCTCCTCTCAATCCAACCATGAACTCCTTTCCCAAGCCTAATATCTGATAACTGACCACAACAAACTAGAAGACCCAACACTGCGTACTCATCAGGTTCAATACCATCACCAACCATTTTATAGTACAGTTCCAGTGCTTCTAAACTAAACCCCTTCCTGGCATAACCAGCAATCATGGTGTTGAAAGAGCTGACATCTGGTTCAGTCATTGTATCAAACACCTTCTCTGCAAAACCCAAACTTCCCAGCTCCATATACACCATAACGAGAGAATTCCACAGGTAATTCCCCAAAGAGAGGCACCCAAATACAATGATATGGCAATGGATTTGCTTCACTTCCGACAGTAAAATCGATGCTTTCATCAGGTGGAGAAACGTTTGCCTGTCCGGAGAAACACTCTGCCTAATCATAGAACTATACAGAGCAAAGCAATCCTTCTTCGAGCATGAAAGAGCAGAAATCATTGTGTTGTAGACGAAAACGTTGGGGTTTGGGGTGAAATTAAGAAACAGAAGCTTCGCCATGTCGATGTTCTGTGGATATGTGACGGCTGAGAAAAAGATTAGACGGCTCATGGGAAATGTATCGCCTATGAGATTGACACGCATGATCTTTGCCAAACTCTGCTTGAATTGATTCCTTGAACTGCATTTCTCGAGCAGAACAAGAGATGGGTGATTAAGCTCAAGGGAATGGAGAGGATCCCATGTTGTCTTGCTCCCAGATTCTGTGGCAAACAACCGAATTCCTCGACGCAAGAACATAGAGCAGAAACAAAAGCAAAAGCTCTTGTCTTTAATCGGAAATATTTGTTTGTCTAAATCTCCAAGTCAGATACATAAGAAGAAGCTGATCCCACCAATCTACCAGGCTTCACAAACACAAACCAGAAAGCATGAAGATCAGAATTGTTCTACATTTGTTCAAGTAGATACACTCTGATCACTGAAGAACAAACAGAAATTGCATAACAAGGATAATGTAATTCCTCACCCTGGAAGCTGATTGTTGGGTCCTCGAAGATGCAATCATCCGAGTAAACTGCACAAGTGAAGATTCCTGGTACCATTTAAAGGAATGAGTTTTGTGTCTGAGCTTAGTTTGTGAATGGGAAAGCTTAATAGTTATTATGATCTTTAGAAAACGCAAGTAGATTGAGTTGAGTAACAAGCAGTTTCCAAATCTAAATACGTGATGAAGATCAGAGAGTCAAATAACTTGTGACGAAATAGGCATTCCCATAATCTAAACAATGCCCGTAATCATCCCCAGAAGATAAAAATAAAACAAATAATCAATTGATTATTATAACTTTATTTTTTTGGTTAGTGGTTTGTATACTTTACGAACATCTGTTGACTTGATTGCAAAAATTAATCCAATGACTAAATTTTTAATATGTTGTAACTACTATGTTGAAAATGTGGAGTTTACTATGTAAGATACTAGTTAATTTCATGTAGAATACAAATATTTTGAGAGACAAATACAATGATAAAATATCTAGAGTTATAATAAAAAAAAACATTCCAAGTTAAAATCTAATTTTCATAAATGAACAATGTGAAATCTATATTCTCGTTCATTTGTAATAAAATTCTATAAGATAAAGTTGATTGGTATAAGTAAAATATCTGGAATAGAAAAAAATAAAAATTTCTTTGACCAAAGCAGAATAATAACAGGTCAAACATATAGAAAAAAAAGAAAAGTAAAACGACAACTCATAACAAACAAAACGCAAACGATGTAAACTGATGTTAATAATATATAGAGCTAGCAACATGTCTACTATTTGCTCAAAATAAGCGCCAAAACGACAATCTCATATAACGTAAAACGCAGTCTACTCGCTCACTTTAAAATTTTGGCCAAAAATGAGCAAAATCGATGGACAACCCACGAATTAGGCCTAACGCGCGCAACGCGCACCAGGTGCGAGTGGGTATGGAATAGGTCTTTTTCATGCGCGTGGCGTCACGCTCTCTGAATTTTGACTGGGATTTTCACTTTTTTTTCTTTTTTTTTTATTCGTCCACTTCATTACCCCCAAGACTTTTGATTAAATCCTGGAAAAAAAAAGGCACTTCATATTTTCGAAAGAGGTGTAAGAAACAAATACAGAACAACGACAACAAAGCCAATGAAGGAAGAAACGAATAGCATCAAAAATCGATTTCAACGTTTATATAAAAGCCTGAGCTTTCATTCAAACTTTTCCTCTCGGGAAAATCGGTGGCAAGTGAAGTAAATAGATCCGAACCCATGGTGAAACTCGGGAGTTTCTGGGTTATCATCATCCTCTTATCAATCCAATTCAAGGGTTCGTTTGGATCCGAATCAACTAAGGAAGCTTACGTCACACTTTTGTACGGAGATGAGTTCTTATTGGGAGTTAGAGTATTGGGTAAATCGATTCGAGACACCGGATCATCTAACAAGGATATGGTCGTTTTGGTCTCTGATGGTGTTTCCGACTACTCTAAGTTGCTGCTTAAGGTATGCTTTTTCTTGTGGATTCTCATTTCTACAACCTTAATATTCCTGGAAAGGTCTTAAGAAAGAAAAAGGCTTTCATTTCCGCTGTAGATTATAATAAAGTGATTCTGATTTTTGAGTCGTTACTTATCATTCCTTATCATTTGAGCTGAATCTGTTTCATTGCGATGCTTGCTTGTGTTGTATTAAAGGATAGATTTTGATTATGCAGGCCGATGGATGGAGAGTAGAAAATATTACTTTGCTAGCAAATCCAAACCAAGTTCATCCCAAGAGATTCTGGGGTGTCTATACAAAGCTTAAAATTTTTAACATGACTGATTACAAGAAAGGTAAGTGTTAATTAGTGTTTCTTTTTTTGCAATCCTAGAGCTTTTTCTCATGTTTTATGCTTATGCCACCAATGCGGTAATCGTCGTTCTTATATTCGTCATTGGTAGTCCTTTCCAAGATTTATGTCTGTAACCACTGAATACATTTTAACATTGATGATTCAATCTTACAGTTTCCATTCATCTGTTGTCTCGTCTGATCATTTGAGTGACTTTACATTTTTATTCTATATATTTTCTTTGATTGAATTGAACAGGTTTCAGCTTTAAGTATGGGGAACCATCATGAATATGAAATGGCCAGTAAAGTCGTAAAGGTTCGTTTTGATCTCTAGTTTCCAATACGTTCCTTATGTCCGCCATGTCTGTGTTCTCTCTCTAGCCTTTAATAGTTTTCTTTCACATTCCCTTTTCAATTTGTTCAAGCATTTTCCCTCTAATCTCATCTTATTCCTCCACAGATTTATGACTTAGCGTACGAGAAGGCAAAGGGAATGCTCCTTAAAAATCGCCGTGTCCTTGAGAAAATCACTGAGGAGCTACTCGAATTTGAGATCTTGACTCAAAAGGTAAAATCTTCACGATGTTGGGACCATTGTGCAACTGAATACTAGACTGAAGGATGTTGCAGAAAAAAAGAATCTTATCATTTTGGTTTCCTCGTTTGGTTTGCAGGATTTAGAAAGACTTGTTCATGAGAATGGCGGGATTCGGGAAAAGGAACCTTTCTTTCTCTCTGGAACCAGTTACAACGAGGCAAGTATTACAACCATCAATCCATATCATTATTCGAAAAAGCAAAAAACTTAACCTGAATTAAAAAGTTGAAAAGCTTGAACCATTTCTATAGGTCAGTCACATTGCCTTAATTAGAAATGGAATGGCATGTGTTTAAAAACTTGTATCTTTATTTTGTGTGGTTTTCTCCTGTTGCAGCCATTGTCAAGGAGCTTCCTTGATGCTGGAGATTCGCCGGAATCTGTACCTCTGAGTGCACCAACCTAAAAAAAGCCATGAAATATGATTCCATACGTTGATGATAGAGTTTCTTGCAGATGCAGGAGTGAAATTTCTTGCTGATTGCAAATTTTGTTCTTGTGTTCACCAGATGAGATTAGTTTAGTTTGCCAAGTTTGAGACTAGAGATTCATATATACATCTTGTCAACTATAAAACAACTGAAAGTTTCCTTGTCCTATTATTCGACTATATGTCTGTGATTCTTACTGTTTGTTTATAATAATAAAGTTATCCGTGGTGATTTCATTTTATCAGTGCTTCCACTAATTTTATGTAAACACTATGTATAAACGTCATGCAACAGAATGCAAGTTTTCATTGCAAGTTTGTTGTTGAATAAGTGATCGTATCAAAAGGAGAGAGTCCATGTACTTGAGGTTTTGAAGGATTTTTGAATTGATGTAAGAGTAATCCTTTTTCTTCTCGTGTCTGTGAGGTGAGACTCTGCAACTAATGCTAAAAAATGATTTTTTTTGAAGGCTCATTGTTTCAGGCATTTTGTGAGCACTACTTTGTAACCTCTAGCTTCCCCCACAAACGCCAAACCAATCACCAAGACTTGGACTTTTAGTGTGTTCTGAAGTAAATCACCAAGACTTGGACTTTTAGTCTGATTTTAGTGCCGAAAAAAGTAAAACAAGGACGTATGATTCAACTGTTGTACCTTTCCGGGAGTAATCAATCCTTTGTCTTCTGCATCTTTAATCATACCATAAGCAAATTCTTTCAACCGGAAGATCATTCAACCAAAGAAAACCAACAGCTTTCTAGCTCAGGATACAACGAGGAACAAATATGTCTTTGGAGCAATTTATACAAAATACTGTTCAGTTCAGTTTATACAAAATTCTTAACGATTCAAATCATCATCCTCCGACTTGGAAATGGTGTCCATGGCTGTTTCGGCTGATACGTGAATATTTTCTTCATCAGAAACAAGAGTGTTCTTGTAGGCGTAGAGCAAAACGGAAACAACCGATTTAGAAATAAAAACAGGTCAAACACAGAATAAAAATTTAAAAAAAAAAGTCAAAACGACAACTCATAACAAACAAAACGCAAACGATATAAAATGATGTTAATCATCTATAAAATGTTAAATTATATTTAAAAAAAAACTGTATTCGTTACATAATCTTTTTATAAGAAAGATGAGTAAGAATTATAGTCGCTAAACTTAAAACCCGGCACTAATAATAAGCATTTCTGAAGGTCCTTATGCTCTGGTTTTAAGTTTAGCGACTATAATTCTTACTCTTCTTTCTTATAAAAAGATTATGTAACGAATATAGTTTTTTTTTGGAATATAATTTAACATTTTTTAGAGCTAGCAACATGTCTACTATTTGCTCAAAATAAACACCAAAACGACAATCTCATATAATGTAAAACGCAGCCTACTCGCTCACTTTTAAATTTTGGCTAAAAATGAGCAAAATTGATGGACTAACCCACGAATTAGGCCTAACGCGCGCAACGCGCACCAAGTGCGAGTGGGATATAAGTATGAGTAATACAACCACATCTCGCTTGGTTTAATTCGGTTATATGAGTAATGGTATGGTTCAAGCCAATTTGGTTCGATTAAAATATCCTCACGTGATATCCACGTGATCATCGATTTAATAAGTACGAAATATTATAATTTCTGTGTATTTTCAAATCACTTTATCCATTCACCAGTAAAAAAATTCTCAAAGTTTAGAGAATTTAACCACTGATCTTATACCAGCATCACTACTTTCTCTATGATCTTATCGTTCGTTAATCGCATGTATGGATCTCCTGGCGTTAAAACGCACCTGTAAAAACAGAGCTCATGTTCAAGAAACCGAGAGACCTGGCGTTAATCCATAATCATCATAATTCCATAACATAAGATTCTTAAGAAAGGAACCTGGCAAAAATTGTTTCGTGTTTGAACATTTTTTTCAGGCGAAACAATATTTTAATACAAAAGAGAAAACTTCTTCACAAGGAAAGATTGATTCTTGAGCCATTTTGTTTAGATGATATTTATGAGCTTCAGGAAAAAGGCATCTATATTATTACATTTCTAGTTTTCTTAGTCAATTACAGTCTTTAGTGTTTCTCATATGAAGAAATGGAGATGAAGCAACTGAAGTATGTACTGAGAAGTTTCACTTTGTATGAAGTCATTTGATCCTGGTTTATAACAGACATCAATAACGATAACATAATGTGTTGAGTATCCACTTTCACTGCTATAACCTAATGACCAAATGTCTGAGAAGATCTCTGTAAAACATTAAGCAAAGGGAAAGTTCTATGCAATTTCTTGAAAGAATACTCAGAAATCGCATCGATTCGAACCAGATCATTCGCTAACTCCATAGCTTCAGCTCTGTATCCAGCAAATCCAATCCCTTCAATAAGCATTGTATAAGTAGTTTCGTTAGGCCTACATCCATTTTCCACCATTGATTCCAATACATCGATTGCGTCCTCGATCCTATGAGCTTTACAGAATCCCAAAAGAACAATGTTGTATGTAACAACCGATGGATGAAACTCACAGCTTCTCATATCAACCAACAACTCAAAAGCTTCTTCCACCATCCCTTCTCTGCATAAACACGAGATCATCGAGTTATAAGTGATCTCATCAGGATCAATCCCGTGACTCATCATCTCTGATATCATTTGCAACCCTCTGATTTTGTCTCCGCTGCTCCACAACGCACTGAACATTGTGTTGTAAGAACTCGAGTTCGGTGAGCAACCCACTTCTCCTAGTTTCCCAAAAATCTCCAAGGCTTGATCAGCTTTCCCGTTCTTGCACAAGGTAGCTAAAACCGTGTTGTAGTTAACTATATCCGGTAAACATCCTTCCGAGATCATAGTTTCCAAGAACTCGATAGCTAAATCTAACCTACCTTCTCTACAAAACGCAGCGATCAAAGGATCGTAGCTATATGCATCAGGCGTTAAACCTTTTTCCTTCATAAGCTTAAGCAAGTTCAAAGCTTCATCGATCTTTCCATCGCGGCATAGAGTAGTAATCAGAATGCTATAAGTCACAACGTTCGGCTCACACTTCTCCGAAAACATCTTTGTCATTAGCTTCTCTCCTTCTTCCCATTTCCCTTGATTTAAAAGAGCTCGAAGCAAGATGTTGTAAGATATCACATCAGGCTCACAACCTCTCAGTTCAAGATTTCGAACCATCTCAAAGGCACGTTCCACCATTCCTTCTTTACACATTCCTCTTATGATTGTGTTGTAAGTAAACATATCCGGTTTTAACCCTCTAGACAACATCTCATCCAAAAGCTTCAACGCTTCATCAACTCCACCATCTAGCATCGTTGCTTCGATCAAAATCGTGTAAGTAATCACAGTAGGTTGGCAATTATCGGTTAAGAGCTGATCTAAAACCTTCAAAGCAAGATCGAGTTTCCCTCTACTACACAGACTACCAATCATTATGTTGTAAGTCACAGTGTCTGGAGAAAACCCTTTGCTTCTCATCCGATCGAGAACTTTCGTAGAATCTTCGATTCGATTCATCTTACAAAACCCATTAATCAACGCGTTGTAAGCGAAGACATCAGGCTGGCCGAATTTCTCGAGAATCTCCATAACCCTAACGGCTTTTGGGATGTTTCTTAGATTGAAGAAACCTTTTATGAGCTTTGTGCAGAGAATCACGTCGGGGTTGTACCCTTTACGTACCATGCTCTCGAGTAGATGTAGAGCTTCGATGTAATTCCCTGCACGGCATGCTCGATGGAATATTTTCAGCATCTGTGTATCTCTGAATCCGAGAGATTGTGAATGGGTTTGCTTTGCGTCTGTTGTGGTGGCGGCCTGAAGGTTTGCTGCTCCTGAAGATGAAAAAGGTTTGCCATTGTCGTGGTTAAGGTTTGAGTTTGAGCAGCTTAAGAAGCTTCGATTGTGAAATACTAGTCCGAGAGAATTCGAACTCGAATTGTGTTTCTGGGTTTTGGAATAGAAAGGGATAGTGAAACCAACGAGTTCAGAGGAAAGTGGCGTCATTTCTAGCTAGCTATTATCAGGGGAAACAAGTTTCATGGAAAAATGTGTGGTGGACGAAAACAGAGAGACGCAGAACGGAAGGCGAAAATGCAAATTTGGGCTATTAAAGGAACCAAATTTTAGGGAAATTCAGGGCAAACATGAAAAGACCGGAACTAAATTGCGAAGTTCATACAAGAATCGAAACGCAAAACGGTAGAGATAATGCAAAAGGAGGAAAAAGTCGGGATTTTTTTGGAGGAGAGAGGAGGGGAAAAAAAGAACAGAGCACCACCACTCGTTTTGTAGTCTCAATGCAATCCTTGATATAATTTTCTTCGATGTGTTATCGTTAATCTCTTTACCGAGCAAGACAGGATAGGATACAAGATAGAATCTCAAATGAAAAAGAAGGAAAAAATCCAATTTTTTTGCTCCGCACTTCAGTGACGTTTGTCCTGACAACAGTAAACAGAGAGTAAAAGGCATTACTTTTGAAAACGACGACGTTGGAAGGTTAATTTGATTTTTGGGCTTCCAAAAATTTGGGCTTCCGAAAATTTGGGCTTCAGTAATTTTACTAGAAGTGTACAACTAATTATGTATTGTAGATGTGTGTCCAAATTGCGTCTAACTTGTATTATTTACAGAAGGATTCTATGGACACCAACATATGCATTGATTCCAAATCCAAAACCATCTCTGTATATATCCCCATAATAACCCCTCTCTGTCGTTTTTTTTTTTTTTTAATGTTTACTAGTTAAATCCTACTCATAGATCTTATCAAATTCATAAGATATCTCTATTCTCTTCTCCATCTTAATCAAGTGTATAACCTAAGTTCGTCTACCTTTGAATTAAACATTTCTAATTTTTTCAACAGACGCTACTGACTTCATGAAAGTGACATTAACACGAGGATTACACAGCAATAAAAAGGTTCAATACGAGATTTCCGAGAGTAAAAAAAAGGAGGAATTAATTATATTACCTTCTAAATTACATGAGACCTTCTTTCCGAATCGGAAGGATCATAAGGAGTACTAATTCTTTACACAGACATATCCCCTTCTTCATGCTACAATCATTAGCAGGTGAAACTACCAGCATGACCTAGTCTCTCTCTCTCGAAGCTATTATCATATAATCTTACAAGAACAAGAAATATATAATCTGTATTAGCTTTACTTAGTTATACATGAATCTTGAGAGAGGAAGACAAGATCATGCTGGCAGCTTAACTGCTACTAGTGCACGGTATACATATACATACATAAATACAACTATGTGTTTGTATGTGAGCTTCTTGCCTCTTGCAAGTATTTAGAAAGAGAAGGGTTTAAATAGTCTGTAGAAGTTAGCCTGAGAGTGTGATTGGTGAATGAATCATTGATCATTTATTTGAACATTAGTATAATAGTATTCTATACAATTTTTTTAATGATATTTCCTTAGTTGTGTTTACATAGTCCGTCTGATGTGAATTTTTAAGTAATGATGATTTCATTAACAATTTTTGTGTTTGGTTCTTCAGAACATTAAGGTTATACAATTATTAATAATCACGTCTGTAATTTGATTCTCCATCGAATGTTTCCGTTATATAAATATATATGTAGAGAGATATATATATATAGATTATGGATTAAGGAAAAAGAGAGAAAGCTTAATTGGTCATGATTTCACATTTACATATGTTAGGTTGTTAACCAATACAACCAGTGTCATCTACTTTTGCTTTATACATTCTTTCTATTTCATTATAGATGTTTTTTTTCCAATTTTTCAAACATAGTAAAAAAGATTAAGCATTTGGGGAGTTGAAAAAGTGATGAGAACATGAACTTGTGGTCCCGTTATTAATTACAGATAAAATAACATGCAAATTGAATATTGTCACGCCCAAAGACAACGCATGCTGTACACCCATTTTATATATATAGAAGATAAAAACTAGACAATTTTGTATACAATGTACATTCAGAGTTACAAGTGACATGCAGATATTTGTTTATGAGCATTTTGATACCGATTTCATAAAATATTTGTTTATGAGAATTTTGAAACCAGTACGTCGTAATTTGATGTTGGCTATTCAGTCGACATTTCATGAATAAATATTTGATGTTGAAATATTAGTTAATTATTAACCAATAATAGGTCTTGTCCTTGTTCCATAAATATTAGTTTTATGGACAGTCATATTATAGTATGATCATGCCTGCATTGTATAAAATTAGACTAGTTGATGTATAAGAGTAGTGTTAGCATGTGAATTATGAACTGTAAGACTGCAAAAGTGTGATGATGAGCAGAAGCGTAATTTATTCAATATCTTTTGGTTAGAAATCTGGTAACACAGTTAAATATTTAATCGTGAATGAAAACATACACGCAGAGTTAGATACCGTTTCACTTTCGGCTAGCAAAATAAGTATTTTTTACAATACTCCTTTTTCTGTTTGTTATGATAATGTTGTCATTGCTTAACCAGCGAAGCATCCCTCTATTACCCAATCACATGTATCCCATTAAAGAATGTTTAGGTGATTTGGTAAATTCGAGAAAGTGATTGACTAATGAACCTTCCCTGAAATCGAAGCTAAAATGGCTGATTATCTTTGACATCATCTTCTTTTCTACTGTTTTTTGTTCTTTCTTCTTAAAACTGTGAAATTGGTCGTTGCAATAATTCGAAACAGAGTACGGCATAATCAATTCAAGTAAATTTAAAGCTCAATTTCATAGATTTCAATATCTTATCGATCCTTCTTATTGTACTTAAACGTTATAATATAGGATGCGCGGCTATATCTCACAAAAATATACTTTCAATTCTGAAATCATTCATCATGATCTTTAAAAAACTCAATTCTTAACATGTCGATTCATCATTCTCGTGAGAATTTCTTAGCGATTTCATACCGGAGAATCTAAATGTGCGTATTCAAGAAAGAATAACATTTGAAATAGAAGGCTTACGGTGAAATCAATGAATTAATTTAAAAAAATGAAATAATTTAGAAATACCGGCAAAAATGCATCTAATGCTTAATGGTCTCAATTTTCGAGATACAAGTAAGCAAGAGAAGTAAATGGTACTAATAATAGTCCTCTTCAATCTCTATTAGAAGGAGAAAAAAAAAAAAAATAATCATTGTCTATATGTAAACCGGCGGCTGGGACAGCAGCTGGTGGTGGAAGTGGAACCGAAGTTTCCCATCCATCTGATTGCAGCATCAAACCGGAACTGTAAAACAAACATTAGAGCATTCGGTTTGTTCAGATTCAGAGAGATACACAACATGATGAAAACGTGTTTCAGCTTGGAAGATAGTACTAACCGCCTACTCTAGGTGCAGCAGAAATTGGTTGCTCGGCTTCACCAGGCCATGCAGAATCAGGAATCTGAACTGTTGTCCATTGTTCTCCACCCACAATTCCATATCCTGGAGCAGCTTCTTCTTCATCTTCTTGCTTTGCTTCTTCAGGCTCCCTGTAGAAAAACAGATCCACCTGCACAACACCAAGTCAACAAGTCAACCTTCTGTTTGGTGTTATCTAAAAAACATAACGATAAGAGACTAACTATGGTTATGATTAGTCTTTAATTACCATGACATCCCATTTCTGAGATGGACGAAGGGTTCCACGCATTTGGAGAACCATACGAGCCAAAAGCCATAAAAGACAACCAATGCTGTGTTTTCCCTTGTTGTTAGCAGGAATACCAATGTCGACAAATCCCATTGGAGAATCCGTGTCACACAAGGCAATAGTTGGAATCCTCCCCAGACCACTTTCTTTAATTGGCTGATGGTCGGTTCTTGGGTCGGTGACAATGAGCAACCTTGGCTCACTGAAACAAGTCTGCTTTTGGTTGGTGAATGTTCCAGGAGTGTGTCTTCCAGCAATTGCATTAGCACCAGTATACTGAGCAAACTTCAACACTGCTCTTTGCCCATAAGGCCTAGCTGATTGAACAATAATGTCTTTCGGGTTTTCGATTGCTACAATAACCCTGGCAGCCAACTCTAGCTTCTCCCATGTCTTTCCTAGGTTGATAATGTAGATACCTGCAGAGCAAGAAAGATACAACTTCATAAACACTCAAACATCAAACAAAAAAAGCTGTTTAATACCGAAAACTATAGAAATTGGCAGAAATGAAATCTAGTACAGAATCCGAGAGAGTCAATTTGATGCGTCTATATACAATGAAGTTGGGATTGAGATAACCGTCGTTGCGTCTCTTGAAGACATAACGCTCCATCTGATAATCGCAGTTTTTGGTACCAAGGTGAACATTAGCCGATAACATCATCTGGATATCAGCTTCTTTCTGGGAGAGCTTACCAGCCGCAATAGTTCCATCATTCGCCGCCATTGTCTTGCTCTCTCTCTGCTTCTCCCTCTTCTCCGCAAAAACCCTAAAAATGTGTAATTTAAGATGAAGAGTGTTGACTAAGTAATATATTATTGGGTCTGCAAGCCCAAAACTAAAACTGATAGAGCCCAAAAACCAAAATTATTTTAATTATTATTTTTTAATTATCTTCTAAATTATCTCCTATGATCAAGCAAAAACGCTCTCCAAACAGTGGCCTTTCATCACGAAAGTTCTTAAGGTTTCATGTCTAACTTTGTTTCTAGATGATTTTTTCTTTTACTTTTGCCTCCTTACTATTTTTTCATACGCTAGTTTTGCCTAAATTTATCGTGATTTCTATCTGTTGTTTAAAGGCTACTGGCTTTTAACGCCGATCATAACATAATTGATTAATATCGGGATCATACCAACTAAGCTAACTAGCTCCGGGTAGTCGAATGCGATTTAGATTTGGAAACATACTAGTATGTTGATTCGCTTATCGTTCACCACTACAATCTTTTTAATCCACATGAACAAAATTGATATTCAGTAAGATTTTAAGAAACAATCCTATCACGTCTTGTCTACTCCAAAAATTAAACAGTTTAGTTAGCTATTGCAAAAGGAATTTTTTGAATGTCATTTGTTTTGCACTACTGCAATTAGGCAATCGCAAGTACAGGTCTATTTTAATTTAAAAACTTTTAAGGACAAGTGAAAAAAAGAGAGAACACAATTGAACACTAGAAATCAAAGTGATATGATCAAACCCTTTTGTTTGCTCAGTGATCTTCAATCTTTTTCAACCCCTTCATATCAGTAGTCTCCACCCTGTAAATGAATATTATGGTGTCAAAGAGCTTAGAATCTAAAGACCAACATTCTCTTGTAGACTGTGATCTTTTTAACATACTGGTAATGAAAGGTTTCAGAGACTTACGTTGAGCCGTAGAGAGCAATCTTCTGAACCTTTGTGAGCTCAGAACCCGATTGGTTGTCTTCGATGAAGATCGTCAAGCTTGGATTAAATACATAAAGGTCGTTAGATCGAGTTTGTGATGGTGCTGAGTAAGTATTATATAACACAGAACATGGTAAAACCTTTTACCTACGAACATTCTGAAACTTCACATATTTAAGGACCACCGGTTTCCCCTGAAAATGGATTTAAACAGAGGTCTCAAGACAGATAGATCGCCAGAACATGTCACAGAATGAATAAAGTTAGATTTCTGAAACATCTTACCTTGAGGTTTTCTTCAGTTAGTTCAGCGGTGTCACTTGGAGGAAAATCATTGACATTGCTGTATTCAAGAGTTTTGAGTTATTAACGCGAAGATGATATAATCATCGAGTTAGATAAGGATAAGAAGATATCCACATTACCTGAAGCACATGTGCTCTTTGTTTGAGAAAAACTTCACGGTTTTAGGGCCTGAAAGGTTATAAGTAAGCAAAAGTTTAATCTCAATGACAAACAAGTAACAGCGACAAGGCAAGACTAAAAGCACAAATACCAATATGCTTTCAATATAGAAGATCTATTTTACTGAACTTTCTTTTAAAGCATTACCATCCTCTTCAGGGCCTTTGATAGCAAAGGAATGTAGTTTGATAACTTGGTTAAATGGAATATATATCAGAAGTTGCTCATCAGCATCGCTCTCTAAGTTTAAGCCTTCATCTTCTCTATACCCCTACACGAACAAGAAAATCATTCTTAGGTCATTAAACAGCAACAGAGAATCAAAGAATTGGAAATCTATAATTTGTATTAGGCTGTTCACTGTTGTGCAATTCATGTTCCACAGTTCACAATAACGCTGGAATGATGAAAAAAAAAATCAAACAAACAACAAAGGAAATCAAAGATAATATAGATTCGAACTCAATCATCTATACCCATTCTCAAAAAATATAGAGACAACTATAAAGCATCTGATACAAACAAATATTGTATACAGACAGAGAACTAGATTCAACTAGGAATAACCTGCTTGAGAGCATTGGGCAAGGAGTGACTTGAGCTTTGGTTGAGGCATTCAACACCGGACCAGTCAATGAAATCTAGCAGATCAACCTGAAAAAATTTACAACAATTCAAACTTCAGATAATCCGCTGATCAAATCCATCAGAAGACCCAAGATTCGAACCCTAGAATATTCTTCCTACCCAAAACAATACTGAAATTCCTTTTCTCCGCATACAAAAATAAGAAAATCAAGGAAATCAACGATTATCAACTCACCTGTCCCTTTGGAATTTGGCTGGCTGATGCGGCGGACATCGTGAGTTCTGCCTTGCAAATAAATCTGAAGATCGAGAAAGTGGAAGAAAGTAATTGGACTTGAAGACGAAATAAAAAAAGATTTGTTGTTCTCTGTTCTTAAGGGAATCAGAAACGACAGCGTATATTGAACACTCTGTTTTATTGAGCAGGTTATGTTTAGCGTCACCAACCCAATACGAGTTTATGAATTTTATTTTCCAATTATACCCCCACACCAACTACAAAACTCTGAAAACTGCCCTTACCTTCCTCTTCCACTCAAAAGTCAAAACCCAACCTTTTATTTTATTTCTTCTCCAACCAGACACTTCTCTTCCATTCACCTCCTCTCCAATGGCTTCCTTATCCTTCGTTTCCTCTTCTCACCTTACTCTACGCACTCCCTCTCTTACCTTACGCACAGGCTCTTTCTCTTCTTCCCCTAGAACCTCTGTTTCATTCTCCGTCAGGGCTCAGTCCGTCGCACTTTCGCAGGACGACTTGAAGAAGCTCGCGGCGGAGAAAGCTGTAGAAGCGATTAAACCTGGGATGGTTCTAGGGCTCGGAACCGGTTCCACCGCAGCCTTCGCCGTCGATCAGATCGGAAAACTCCTTTCCTCCGGCGAACTCTACGACATCGTTGGCATCCCGACGTCGAAGCGAACGGAGGAACAAGCGAGATCGTTGGGGATTCCGCTTGTCGCGCTAGATACGCATCCGAGAATTGATCTCGCTATCGACGGAGCAGACGAGGTGGATCCGAATCTGGATTTGGTCAAAGGTCGAGGAGGTGCTCTGCTCCGGGAGAAAATGGTGGAAGCTGTGGCGGAGAAATTTATCGTTGTGGCTGACGATACGAAACTCGTCAAGGGACTCGGCGGAAGCGGATTGGCTATGCCGGTGGAGGTTGTTCAGTTTTGCTGGAACTTTAATCTCATTAGGTTGCAAGATCTGTTCAAGGAATTCGGGTGTGATGCGAAGCTGAGAGTCGACGGAGATGGGAAGCCTTATGTGACGGATAATAGCAATTACATCATCGATTTGTATTTTAAGAATCCGTTGAAGGATGGATTCGCGGCGGCGAAAGAGATCGGGAAGTTTCAGGGTGTGGTGGAGCACGGTCTGTTTCTGGGGATGGCTACGTCGGTGATTATCGCCGGGAAGAACGGCGTTGAAGTTATGAACAAGTGAGGTGTACAATTCAAAGTTTTTCTCTTCTTCTTCTTCTTCTTCACTCGATGACAATTTTTCTCCTTTTGTAAAATTCACCAATTGAGTTTTCAAAATAAACTCTTCAATTTCGATTCATCATCATTCCAATTCAACAATAGAGAACAGAGAATCAGCAAAAACAGGAATCAAATTTTGAATAGTTTTCGAATTCAAAAATGCTAACTTTATACAGTGGAAATTCATAATACCCCGATTCCAGTAACAATGATGCATTCAAAGTCTCTCCTTTGACTAATTCTCAAACAATTTCTTAAACCCCTAAACTGAGAAATGGAAGTTAAGATCATCAGATAGGAACGAATCGCCTGACGATGCCTCTCCCGGAAACCGCCACGAAAGCCGTAATTCCTCCGGCGAGTCCAGCAATTACAGCGGATCTAGGCCCAGACGCAGCTCTGTAAATCGCACCGGTGGCTAAACCGGCGATCACAGTACTCAAGGATTCATCGTCCCCATCTCTCAAGTACGTAACACCGCTCTGGAGAGCGGCGTACATCAACCCTAGAGATCCTAAGCAATTCCCGCCGCGTCGTGCAGCGAGTCCACCGGAGTTCAAAATCCGATTAGCCCAGATCTTAAGGGATTCGCCATGCTCGGCGGCTCGGATCCCGTCAATTGATCCCTTGGCGGCTCCGATCGCCGCTCCGGAGAGATAGCCAGAACCGGTGAAGAACGTGAGACTCTCTCCCCATGATAAGCGGGTCTTGTTAGCTTCTTCTTCGAAGAGGAACTACGGCGAAGTTGGGAGATCGTAGAGCTTACGGTACGGAAGATCGATTTGTTGGTACGGATTGTACTGACGGTACGTCTGGTGATGATCTCCGGTGATAGGGTTCGTCGGATCCGCCATTGTCAGGGCTTTTAGCGTACTGGTTCGACGATTGAGGCTTAGGGTTTAAGGAGAGAGGTCTTTCCAGAGACGGTTTATAATTTCTAAGTGAAAAGCATAAAAAAGGAAATACTTTGGGACCAATTCGAGAATTTTGGAGTCTTAACCTTTGGGCCTTAAAAAATTTAAACTTGGCCTTTAAAATTTATGGGCCTTCTCGTTTACGCAAACTACGATCACTCAGTTAACGGGTCTTCTCAGCTTTTTCGTCTTCTTTGTTTCTTTTAAGCTATACTTCATTTTGCTTGTTTTTTGTGTGAGGATATTCTTTAATTTCAGTTGATAGCAAAATGAAGGATATTGAATCGTGATTGGTGAATCGACAAATACAAGTAACTACATTACAACAAGGGTATACAAATCTATACATATATTATTGGGGATAGAAACAAAAAAATACATTGTAATCCCAACTCAGTGCAATTACAGTCATGTCGAATATAATACTTTTATTATGTTCTTGAGTTTGCATTTTCAATTTCACGTGCCGAATCGCCGTGGTCGAGTTGCAGTTTGCATTTTCAGTTTTCCGATTCATATATTATAGTATTTTACAATACAACAACGGCAAAAAGACAAGAAGAGAAGATAGCTACAATTTGATTGGATTGAACAATGAACAATTCTAAAGTTAAACAAACCAGAAGAAATACTGGATGTTACACCCCTGTAATTTTGGTGACCTTTAAAAAAAGAAAAATAGATCTCCCGTTGACGTAATTAATAAAATTTTATAAGCTCACGCGGTTTGCCCTTGCCGTAAACTACTAAAGGTCTAATAAATAGTTTCATGGAGAAAGAAAAGGTATGTATAAGTGGGTGTGAAGTAAGACGAAAAAACTTGCAAAAAACTTAAATAACAACAAAAATGAATAAAAACAACTAGCAGTATTTGCATTAACGATTTATATTGATGATGAATATTAGACATGTTTTAGTCGACTATTTTTTGAAAAATCATTTTTCTCTCACCCCAATATAAGTTTGATCTTTCTATTGTTGTTGGGTGCCACTATGTTAATGTATTGACCGCTTATTACTTAATACTTACACCAGTAATGTTTATATTTGTGTGCACATATATATTTATATATATATATATATATATAAATACGTACATATGTGTTTTTTTTTAGCAACAAATACGTACATATGTGTATGATAAGTATGTCTATTTTTCAGAGTCATCTTAGTTGAACTAAACTGAATTTGTAGATGCAAAACGAACTAAACATACTGAGCCATACTGCAATTATTCGGTTTTCCTTAATAAAAAATCTGAATTAACTGTAGTCAGAATTTTACTGAGCAAAATTAATTTTATATTTAAAACATATTGGACAACACTAACACACATTTACATGACTCATGCCTGAAATATGTACACCTGATTTCAAAGTAAAAAGACAAGACATATAGAATGCCTTTAGCAAAAAAAAAAAAAAAAAGAAAGAAAGGACAAGAAAGATTAGTGGATTAGATGGATAAGTATTGTTCTTCATCGTTATAATTATTATTAGACTTAATCGTGTGAGATTGACAGCGCCGAAAATTTATATGTCTATGAGAACGACAGTTATAAAATTTCACAACGATAGTCGATACTAGCTAAGAATTCATATTTTATTAACAATATGCTTACCGTATTTGACGTGGGTGAGTGGATCACCTATTATATCAATCCCTTCATCTCGGTAATCATTCAAATAGTTGTTCATATACACAGGAAGCGATTAGAACAATTTAAAGAAGACTTGAGGTCGTTAACAAGGAAACTCGACGATCATGAAGACGTACGGTATTCTTTCTTCTAGACAGTATACATCTTTCATTCTTTCTTCATAATGGTAACGTGATTTTTTTCTTTAATCTAAATGCTATATTATCAACTTATTTGTAGTTTCAATTTTTGTTTCTAATTAGTTTATAATTATAAATTTTCGCACAAAATTGTTCCTAAACTGTATTTAGGAATTTCATGTATTCTACCAAACATTTTACAAGGATGTGCTGAACAAGATAAGATAAATTAAATAGTCTGTTTATACAGATGAAAAGTCAAATTTGTTTCTACTAATATTGTATTTTGTCAACATATTACTATTAATGACATATAAACAATTATAATGTGGCAATTAATCACAAATCATATCTTCACATGTAAATCTGCCGATTGAATCTAATAACGTATTGTGGTGGTACTCAAAAGCTAAAATTAGTCTATATATAGGTACAGCAAAATAAAAAAGCAATAACTTGCAAATACAAATTTTCGTTAACGCGACCTAATCAATTATTGATCAAATAATATTACTAAATCGTAATGCACGAACTACAAAAAATAATATATATTATTATCCAAGACGAACTTGTCATTTTATGCTTTTTTCCTGTTTTTAAACAATAAATAAAAAGTAAAGTCACATCATATGGACAAAAGGGTGAATCAGATATTATATTGTAATAACATTAATTATTATTAAAGTATTTTTTGCTGTCTCATTTTTATATAAGGAAATTACAAAGATTTATTTACTTCCATCAAAGCAAAATGAGCCAAAATCTGTCGTTTTCCTCTTAAGAGAGCAGGTCTCATGGCGAGCCAGTTTCTTCAACTTCTTCCTCGTTTTCTTCCAATGCCTCTCCTTCACTACCATTTCTCCTTCTCCGGAAAAAGTGCCCTTTTGTAGCTACCTTCATGAAATGCAGAAACTTCTTTCTCTCGACTTCTTCTTCTTCTTCGTTTATTCTTCTAAATCTGCCGATTGAATCTCACAACGACGCCGTTTAAGGTTTGTTTCTCTCTCTCTCTCTCTCTCTCTCTCTCTCTCTCTCCCCGAATCCAGGTAACCGTTTCTTAGTTTTTTTTTTTAAGTTAAAAATGTTGTGTTCCTCGTTGTGTTATCGACAGTCAGTTTGATGGGTTGTAAAAATTCTGTGAGTGCGAGGATAGAATCTGTAATTTTTCCCAATGATCTCAGAAAAGTTTTTACTTTTACATCACCGGACACAATAAAACGTTAGAAATTTCCTAAATCTTGCATGTTAGAAGACGAATATGAGTGGGTTACCTTAATTTTCGAATTTTTACCCAAAAGTTTAATTCGTGCTCTGTGACAAATTACCTTTTAAGTTTGGTGGGTCGGCTTGGCAGGGAGATTAATCACAAAACTTTTAGAAGAATCGAAGAAAGAAAGTTTCACTTTTTCCGGTTTTTTATTACTGCTTTTGCTCTCATTCTCTTTGATTAGTCTAGTTTTAAGACCAGAAAGGTACGGGTTTGTGTTGCTTACAAGAAACATGATTAAGGATAAACTGATCGTACAATGTGTCTTTTATCTTCACTTGCCTTCAGATTCTTTAGACGAAATTAAGACAAAGGAGGTGAATTTCAGAGTTTGTCAATGGAGCATTACGAGGTTCTTGAGCAAATCGGAAAAGGTTCCTTTGGCTCAGCTCTTCTTGTGAGACATAAGCATGAGAAGAAACTGTAAGTACTTAACCTAAAACAGGATTGTATGAATATAAAAGTGTCTTCTAAAATTTGAATTCTCTGTAATGCTCTGCTCCTGCTGCTAAAGGTATGTTCTGAAGAAAATCCGGCTTGCTCGGCAGACTGGTAGGACAAGAAGATCTGCTCATCAAGAGGTTGTTTGAAATCTCTTCTGTGTTCTGAAACATTCACATACATTTACGCATGCAACTTCTGAATAATATTTTTAAAATGCAGCTCCTTTTGTCACTTGTTAGACATAGATCATGGAGTTTGAACTCTTAGAACCAAGAATAGACAATGGCCCTTGATGTTGCTTTTGTTGTTTTATGTCGATGGTCGTTTAAGATATGCTGTTATGGATCATTCCTGAGCTATAGATGTTGACTTTTGTTCTGTGGACTAACAATATCCTGTTATCTCATTGTAGATGGAGTTGATTTCAAAGATCAATAATCCATTCATTGTGGAATACAAAGATTCTTGGGTCGAAAAGGTATCATCTCTACATATCTTTTCGTTTCTTGAATGTATTATTTTGAAAATGTAATGGTCTATGGATATGTGCTATTAGGGGTGCTATGTGTGCATTATCATAGGCTATTGCAAAGGAGGAGACATGTAAGCTTATTCCTTCTCAACAGTTTTCGCCTGTTCTTGGTTCGACAAGAGGCTCTTTGACACAGTTGCTGACTTTTCTGCCTTACAGGACGGAAGCGATAAAGAAAACGAATGGCGTACACTTCTCTGAAGAGGTTCGTGCAAAGACAAGCTTGATTGATTCTGGCCTTTTAATAAAAACTTTCTGAATCTCTCAATTTTTTTTTTTTTGTTTGGTTATCAGAAACTCTGCAAATGGCTTGTTCAGCTCTTGATGGCTCTTGAATACTTGCATGCCAATCACATCCTCCATCGCGATGTCAAGGTTGGTTATGATGTTTTGTCTCAAGACCAATACAGTTCATAGAAAGATCTACATACTGATACAAAACTAACCGATTTCATCCATCCAGTGTTCAAACATATTCTTGACAAAGGATCAAGATATACGTCTAGGTGAGATACTAACAAATTTATGACACTATATCATTTCCTAATCAGCTTAACACAACACCAACCACAATGTAACAAATCGAATCACTGATATTTCCAGGCGATTTCGGACTTGCCAAGGTCTTAACATCAGACGACCTCGCATCTTCAGTAAGAAGTTTTCTTGAATTTTTCGCATACTGATATGTTCTGGACTCGGGTTTGATCGTTACCATTCTTCAAAAACCAGGTGGTTGGAACGCCAAGCTACATGTGCCCTGAGCTACTAGCTGATATACCCTACGGGTCCAAGTCTGATATTTGGTCGCTTGGCAAGTTTCTCATCCATGTATAAGATTCCTAACCTTTTAGGTCTAGATATATTCATCTGAATCTTTATCTTGTTTTCTTCAGGATGTTGTATGTATGAGATGACAGCTATGAAACCCGCATTCAAAGCTTTTGTAATCTCTGAAACCTGTATTTACCT